TCTTACAGGTAACTATCCACAGTCTCTGTACCTAAAGCCTACTAATTTCACTGACGTTAATGAGATAATCCTTTCCCTTAAAACCAAGTCTAGTGCCCTTGAGGAGATACTGTTACGACCCTGGGTTCTTCAGTGGAAACCAGAGGTCAAAATTTAACTAAATAAGCTACGTTAGAGTAATAAATCGCAACTCGATGTGTCTTTGTTTGTATCTTCCCTGCCAGACGTAAGACTATTCTTGTTTCTCAAAGAGCATTTAAAGACTGAGCTGGGGGTTGATTATTAAATATAAATAATAAATAAATATAAATAAATATGTTTATTCAGGTAAGGTACATACATACAAGTGATGTTACATTAATGGATACAATGCCTAAAGCCACTATTACGCAATGCGTTTCGGGCAATGCGTTTTATTAAATAATAACATAGGCACCAACTATGTTTACTAATACTCTAATCATTTGTAAAGTAAACCTGAGTAAACTTGGTATAGGGCTGTGGTACGATTAGTTGAGCAGTCTGCCGGCAGCAGCCAGCTGGGGGGAAGGAAAGGGAGACTCCATCTTGTCTGGTTGCTGGCTGTGGTGAAAGGAACTCCCTCCTCCTTCCTCTTCGTTTCCTTATTTCTGTGTCTTGTTCAAGATAAGTACCAACTGAGTTATTATGCAATATCTGGCATACTCATGTTCTATGTGTAGAGTAGTATATTTTGTGTGTAGTAGGTGTTTTTAGAGTTTATATTACTAGTTATTCTAAAGGGGGTCCCATTGGAACCACGTGGTCCCCTACCCTAAGCTGACTCTAACTTCAAGTTATTCAGTAGTAGAGCTTTACCCTAGCTTGTGTTCTGTGTAAAACCTTGTATCCTGCTTATGTGGACCAAGGCTTTTAACATAAGGTAGTGTGGTAAAGTTATTATTATTATTGTTATTGGTGTGAATGTATATGGGGGGCTGTTAAGGGGTTAATAAATAAGTACATGAATTATAAGAGTATCGTTCTTCCTGTGTAGGAGATCTTGATCATTCCTTAGACTGACCTTGTTGTGTAGCCAAGTAGTCAGCACTACTTCTAGTTTCCATGGGGGCCGGGCCTTACTGATCTCCCCAAATAGATACATCTTTATTCTGACTGACCTTACCCCTGAATAGCACTAGATTCCCCATAGCGAGCCCACCATATATTTTATTTATAACAGATACCAACTTTAATTTACAAAAAAGCCTCCAGATCATTAGCCCCTGCTATTGCATTGCTCTTCAACAAGTCACTTGAACTCCAAACCTTTCCAGATATTCTAAAAAAAGCGAGAGTAACCCCTGTCCACAAATGTGGTGATCTCACAGATGTTAACAACTACAGACCTATATCAATCCTGCCTAACTTGTCAAAAATATTTGAAAAACTAATCTACAAGCAGCTTTACTCTTATCAAGCCAAACACAATATACTTAGCTCTTGTCAATATGGCTTCAGACCCAAAAAAAGCACTAACGATGCACTTATTAGTATAATTAACTTGATTCATGCAGTTCTTGATAAAAATGAGTTCCCTGTTGGGTTATTTGTGGACCTGCATAAGGCTTTTGATACTGTCAACCACCAAAACCTTCTTCTTAAATTACATCATTATGGAGTCAGAGGACACTCCCTGCAATACCTCAAATCTTACCTTACTGACAGGCTCCAGTATGTTTCTGTGAATAATTCAGTTTCTCCCACCCTACCCATCAACATCGGTGTTCCTCAGGGCAGCATACTTGGCCCCTCTCCTCTTTCTCATCTACATTAATGACCTTCCAAATGCCTCCCAACACCTCAAACCAATTCTATTTGCTGATGACACAACCTTCTATTACTCCAGTCCTGACCCCCTTGTTCAAAATGCCACAGTAAATACTGAGCTAAATAAAGTCCATCTTTGGCTAACGGCCAACAAACTCACCCCTAACATTGACAAAACTTTCTATATTCTGTTTGGCAATAAATCCTCTAATCAAATAAATCTCAGAATAAACAATACCCAAATTTGTAACAAATTAGATGGCAAATTCCTTGGCGTTCTCATTGACCACAAGCTGAATTTCCAGGGACTCGTTCTAAATATATCAAAAAGTTTCACAAACTGTTGGCATTCTTTCTAAGATCAGATATTATGTACCGCGCCATGCCCTGGTGATGCTCTATTACTCCCTCATTTATTTTATTTATTTATTTATGCATATACAAGAATGTACATAAGGAATGTGAGGATACAAATATGGTAATTACAGTCTTGTAAAGCCACTAGCACACGCAGCGTTTCGGGCAGGTCCTTAATCTAAGAAAATTTTAAGGAGGTAAATACTTGCAAAATTTATAGACAAAAAAATGATAACAGATTACATGAAATGAAAAAAAAAGATGAGAGAAAATTGTAGGTACAGTATATTAAAGCACATAGGTAGCTAAGATTGATTGCAATAACAGCTTGAATGGTAGTTGACAACAAATTGGTAGGCACAATACAGCAGAAACAATATAAGATTGATTGCAATGACAGCTTGAATGGTAGTTGACAAAAATTGGTAGTCACAATACAGCATATGGCTAGCACATAAAAGAAGACGGCAATGAACACAATGATAAGGTTGTTTGATATTACATAAAAATTAGGAGATTGGGTAACACTAGGTACAGAGCAAATTTAAAGCTCAGTGTAGGAAACTAAGAAGATGAAGTTAGGTACTTTTTGGTTTTGCTTTTAAATAAGGCAAAAGTTTTACAGCTTTTCAATTCACTAGGGAGTGAGTTCCATAGACTAGGTCCCTTAATTTGCATAGAGTGTTTACACAGATTAAGTTTGACCCTGGGGATATCAAAGAGATATTTAATTTCTGGTGTGGTGATAATGGGTCCTATTACATCTGTCCAGGGAGAGTTTCAGAGCATGGTTTGCATTTAAGAACAGGGTTTTGTAAATGTAGTTGACACAAGAGAATGTGTGGAGGGAGTTAATATTTAGCAAGTTTAGGGATTTAAACAAGGGAGCTGAGTGTTGTCTGAAAGCAGAGTTAGTTATTATTCTGATAGCAGATTTTTGCTGTGTGATGATGGGCTTAAGGTGGTTTGCAGTGGTAGACCCCCATGCACAGATACCATAATTAAGATAGGGGTAGATTAGTGCATAGATGGAGTAGATTAGTGCTCATCTATCCATATCTGAACTATGGTATTTGTGCTTGGGGTTCTACTACCCAAAATCATTTATGTCCTCTAATTACTCAACACAAAGCTGCTATTAGGACAATATCCAACTCTGGCCCCAGACATCACTTGGTACCCCTACTCAAATCTCTGAATATGTTAGATATTAAGTCACTGCACATTCTCTCATGTGTATTATACATACAGTATATAAAACACTGAACTGTAATGCCAATCCTGACCTCAAAAGCTTCATTGAAGGTTGTAACAGATCCCATGAGCACCACACCAGAAATAAATTCAGTTTTGATATTCCAAGAGTACGACTTAATCAAACTAGAAATGCTCTATAAATCAAGGGACCCAGAATGTGGAATGACCTTCCCAACCATGTTAAAGACTCTCTCAACCAGTTTAAGATAAAAACGAAGCACTACCTAATAAATTCCCTGTAACCTACCGTACCCCTCTATTGTCAACCCATGTCTGTTTTCTTAAACAACGCTGTTTGTCGACCTAATTGTATTTTTGCTGCTTTTTCAGCCATGTTTCCCCCTTTTTTATCTTTATTTTTATTTGTTCTCAACACATTTTATTCTTTATACTCAATTAGTATTAAGTTTTTAGTCATTAATGTTTTTCCTGCCCAAAACGCTATGCGTAATAGTGGCTTTAGGCATTGTTTGTACTAGCTCCATCTATAAATCGATCAATTTATGTAAAATCTCTTGTATGTATGTACCTTACCTGAATAAACATTTTATTTTTTATTTTTAAGCCAGGAAGACTATGTAGCTAACTGTAGGTCGTAACTAAGTGATTGTAACCTATCCACCGCTGCCCACTGGATGGGGGGCGGTGTGCAGGACAAACATATCAATTGTGACACTAGCTCTCCACATATGTCAGTTCCTTAATTTAGAAACTGTACTTGAGGTCGGTCTCGAGCCCATTGTTGATGTGATGATGTGCATTGAATTTTGTAACTAGCTCATCAAGATTGTAACTTGCTTAGCTAAATGAATAGTAGGGTTCAGTCCCTGGGCTCATTATGTGCCTCTGTTACCCTTTCCACTACTGCCCACAAGATGGGTATGGGGTGCATAATAAAATAACTAAACTATCTGACAAAAATCATGCAGTTAAGAAAATTCTTGACATTTGGGGTATTTTGTTGTCAAAGGTTAATGTTGAAATCATCACCTAAAATGTGATTTTTATTGAGTTTATTGCTTATGAGTGCTTCCTGAGAATTTTTTTAAGAATTCATTTACAATATACAGTATTGGTATTGGGAAATCTATAAACAGCTTCAATAGTTATAGGGGATTTCAAGGTTTTAAATTAAAATTTAGCAAAAATATGTTCATAATAATCTTTATTGCTGACAACTCTAATGCAGTTATATTGATAATAGACTGTTGTATGATACCCCTTTGTATTTGGTCAGCAGTAAAGAATTGTTATGTAACCATCTAAATCATATACAGTAAGACAATTGGGTTTCTGTTAAGATAATGAACATAGTTTTGAACCTAGCGCTTCTAATGGTGAAATTATCCCGTCAAACTGTTTATTGCATGATCAGTATTCTGGTTAAATACTGATAGACTAGTGTTAGTTTGATGTTTATTTTTGCTGGAAACACTTTGTGTATCAGTATCTTTATATAATATACATTTTCTACTAATTAACCACTGTAACATCTATTATAATAATATAAATAAAATAATAGTACATAATAGAATAAATCTTGAACCAGTAGCAACCATGGCTTGTGTAAATAAGTTTAGTACACTCGCTTGTTCCAGCACCATCAGCAGCTGTGGCTAAGTACCCTGGCCCAGACGACCTGGTGATACCCATCGACCGGATCATGAAGTCTCCTGTCTCCATTGATCAAGATGACCCGAAGCTCATACAGGTATTGAGTGAACATAAATATTTCTTATAGAGACATAACTTTCCATACAATGCTGCCATCCTTCTTAATCATGCTGCTTCTTTGTAATACAGCTCTATACAGTACTGCAGTACTGTAATTGTATTCTAATTTTCCCAATTCCACAATCTTATAAATTTTAATTCCATTTCCTACTCCATTATGTGCAGTAATATAACTCAAACATTGGGTAAAATTAGGTATAGTCCCTTTATTGTAAAACTTATTAACCAATAAACTATAAAGCCTATAGTTACTATGAACCGTTGTACCAAATATGGACTGTTAAACTCCAAAAAATTATGTTTTGTATTCATTTTGTAGAGGATCTGAGAAAAAAGGCAACTAAATCAAACTTTCTTCAGACCCAGTATACTACATATTCATACTAAATTAGGCCTATGAATGCACATCTTAGGCCTAGAATTGGTTATTTATGCAAAGGACAGAAGGAATTATTCCTATCTAGTATCAATGACAGTCAATGCCTTACAGCCCCAAGTGGCAATTCTCCACAACAACCCTAAATTACAATTTACTCACAAAAAATAATAATACATAATAATAATAATTTACTCACAAGAAGGGACAAGGGTTGGTGAGATTATATAAGAATGGTATTTGTACATTTCTCTGTAACCCTTTCCACTACTGCCCACAAGATGGGTATGGGGTACATAATAAATTAACTAAATTAAACTTGCAAAGCCACTAACACACACAGCATTTCGGGCAGGTAATTAAGCTGACATATAGGATAAGATGAAAAGGGTTAAATTGGCAAGGTTTTATATCAATAAATAACCATAATATAAATTGACAGAGGTGATTACACTAGTAAAGAAATGTCTTAATTAAGTTTTAAGACATTGTCTTTAAGTTTAAGTTAAAAACATTATTATTATTATTATTATCATCATTATTGTTTATTATTTATTTATTTATTTGATTTATATACAAGAAGGTACGTTGGGTTTATGAGAGTACATAGCATTGATGTTTTTTACATTCTTGTAAAACCACTAACATACATAGCATTTTGGGCAGATTCTTCATTTAACAGATAATTTTAAATATGTAATTTCTAGCAAAATTGAAAAACTGTTAACAGATACATGGTAAGAAAATATGACGAGGATTATTTGGTACATTATAGTAAAATTTGAGGGTTATCAATAAGTACATTGTAGCATAATTTGAGGATTATTTCAAGGTATAATGCAGTAAAAATATGCATTCAATATACAGTAACAACAATGATATAAAATGATAGCAGTGATTTCAATGCTGAAGTTTTATGGCTTAGGTACATATATTGGGGGAGTGGGTAGCACAAGATTCAAAATTCAATATTCAAAATTCAAAATGTTTAATCAGATAAAGTACATACATACAAGGGGGGTGATACAAATATTGATGAATTTATAGATAGAGCTAGTACATACAATGCCTAAAGCCACGATTACGCAAAGTGTTTCGGGCAGGAAAAACACTAAAGACTAAAATTTAATACTAATTGAGATTAAAGTATAAAATGTGTTGAGAAAATATAAAAAATTAAAAAGGGGGAACATGGCAAAAAAACAGCAAAAATACAATTTGGTCGACAAACAGCATTGTTTAAAAATAGCAGACATAGGTTAACATTATAGGGTAAAGGTAGGTTACAGGGAGTTAATTAGGTAGTGCTTAGTTTTTATCTTAAACTGGTTGAGAGAGGTACAGTCTTTAACATGATTGGGAAGGTCATTCCACATTCTGGGTCCCTTGATTTGTAGAGCATTTCTAGTTTGATTAAGACGTACTCTTGGAATATCAAAAAGGTATTGGTTTCTGGTGTGGTGCTCATGGGTTCTGTTACAACCTTCAATGAAGCTTTTAAGGTCAGGATTGGCCTTACAGTTCAGCATTTTATATATATATATAATACACATGAGAGGATGTGCAGTGACTTAATATCTAACATATTCAGAGATTTGAGTAGGGGGTACCGAGTGATATCTGGGGCCAGAGTTGGATATTGTCCTAATAGCAGCTTTGTGTTGAGTAATTAGAGGATGTAAATGATTATGGGTAGTAGAACCCCAAGCACAAATACCATAGTTGAGATAAGGATAGATGAAGGAGTAATAGAGCGTCACCAGGGCAGGGCAATGTACATAATATCTGATCTTAGAAAGAATACTAACAGTTTTTCAAACTTTTTTTGATATATTTAGAATGTGTCCCTGGAAATTCAGTTTGTGGTCAATGAGAACGCCAAGGAATTTGCCATCTTCTTTGTTACAAATTTGGGTATTATTTATCCTGAGATTTATTTGATAGGTATGAAACAAGTAAGGAATCTACGAGAATGAAATTTAGGTACTTTTTTATCTTACTTTTGAACAGGGCATGGGTTGGACAATTTTTTAATTCATCAGGGAGTGAGTTCCAAAGACTGCGCCCTTTTCAAGGCACTAACATCATCGAAGTGTTTACCTAGGGATCTAACGTTCAAGTTGATTACAGAGATATTGTGATTATCTGTTAATACATTGTTTACATCATGTGCTGTAAAATATCTGCAATTTTGATCATTGAAGTGATGATTATCATAGATAGTGGATAAGAGGTTTAGTTCTGGGTCTATACTTGTCTGCATAAAAAGGCTGTTTGCAGGAAAACAAGGCAAGAATGGCAAATTACAAAAAAAAAGTTTCAAAAACTGTTGGCATTCTTTCTAAGATCAGATATTTTGTACCCCGCCCTGCCCTGGTTACTCTCTATTACTCCCTCATCTATCCATACCTCAACTATGGTATTTGTGCTTGGGGTTCTACTACCCAAAATCATTTACGTCCTCTAATTACCCAACACAAAGCTGCTATTAGGACAATATCCAACTCTGGCCCCAGACATCACTCGGTACCCTTACTCAAATCTCTGAATATGTTAGATATTAAGTCACTGCACATTCTCTCTTGTGTATTATACATATATAAAACGCTGAACTGTAATGCCAATCCTGACCTCAAAAGCTTCATTGAAGGTTGTAACAGAACCCATGAGCACCACACCAGAAATAAATACAGTTTTGATATTCCTAGAGTACGACTTAATCAAACTAGAAATGCTCTACAAATCAAGGGACCCAGAATGTGGAATGACCTTCCCAACCATGTTAAAGACTACCTCTCTCAACCAGTTTAAGATAAAAACTAAACACTACCTAATAAATTTCCTGTAACCTACCTCACTCCTCTATTGTCAACCCATGTCTGTTTATTTTTTTTTTTTTTTTTTTTTTTAATCAACACTGTTTGTCAACCTATTGTATTTGTGCTGCTTTTTCAGTCATGTTCCCCCTTTTTTTTTATCTTTATTTGTATTTGTTCTCAACACTTTTTATTCTTTATGCTCAATTAGTATTAATTTCAGTTCTAGATATTAATGTTTTTCTTGCCCGAAACACATTACGTAATAGTGGCTTAAGGCATTGTATGTACTAGCTCTATCTATATATCAATCCATTAATGTAACATCACTTGTATGTATGTACCTTACCTGAATAAACATATTTATTTATTTATTTATTTATTTATTTATTTGCGTGGAGTGTTTGCCCAGATTTAGCCTGACTCTGGGAATCTCAGAGATATTTATTTCTGGTGTGGTGCTCATGGGTTCTATTACCCCTATCAAGGAAACATTTCAGATCAAGATCAGCATTTAGGAACAAGATTTTGTACATGTAAATTAATTTATTTATTTATTTATTTATTTATTTATTTATTTATTTATTTATTTATTTATTTATTTATTTATTTATATGTACAAGAAGGTACATTGGGTTTGTGAGAATACATAGCATGGTGTTAACATTCTTGTTAACACCATGCCAACAATAGTATGTGCAGCGTTTCGGGCAGGTCCTTAATCTAACATATAATTTTAAGTAGGTGAATTCTAGCAAAAATGATAAAGTGATAACAGGTACATTGTAAGAAAAAAAATGAAATGAGTGAGATTAGTAGGTATATTAAAGCACATCGGTAGCTCTGATTGATTGCATTGACAGCTTGATTTGTAATTTAACAAAGATTAATAGGCACAATACAGTATATTGATAGCACATATAAGAAAAACAGCAATGATCACAATGGTAAAGTTGTTTGGATTAGGTACACAAAGATTGGGGAATTGGGTAGCAAAAGATACAGTACAATTTTAAAGCACAAGGTTGGACACTGTGAAGATGAAATTAGGTACTTTTTTGTTTTGTTTTTGAATGGGGCAGAAGTTGGACAGTTTTTCAATTAATTAGGGAGTGAGTTCCATAAACTAGGTCCCTTTATTTGCATAGTGTTTACACAGATTAAATTTGACTCTGGGGATATCAAAGAGATACTTATTTCTGGTGAGGTGATAATGGGTCCTATTTCATCTGTCCAGGGAGAGTTTCAGAGCAGGGTTTGCATTTAAGAACAGGGTTTTGTAAATGTAATTGACACAAGAGAATGTGTGGAGTGAGTTTATGTTTAGCATGTTAAGAGATTTAAACAAGAGGGTTGAGTGTTGTCTGAAGGCAGTGTTTGTTATTATTCTAATAGTGGATTTTTGCTGGGTGATGAAGGACTTGAGGGGGTTTGCAGTGGTAGAACCCCATGCACAGATACCATAATTAAGCTAGGGATAGATTAGTGCATAATATAGTGAGAGGAGAGCAGAGTTAGGTACATAATATCAGATTTTGGAGAGTATACCAACTGTTTTAGAGACTTTCTTAGATATATGTTGTATGTGGGTGCTGAAGTTGAGTCTATTGTCTAGGAATATGCCAAGAAACTTTCCATCATTTTTATTACTGATGTTATAAATAACACATGAGAATGTGTGGAGAGAGTGTATGTTTAGCATATTAAGGGATTTAAACGGGGGGTTGTGTGTTGTCTGCAGACAGAGTTTGTTATAGTTCTGACAGCAGATTTTTGCTAGGTAAT